ATCACCTTAACAGCAAAGTCTAGGGAAAGATGCAGCCTCCCATGAAGTTTCATACAAATGTGTTACTAGGACCTAGTTTCTCTCCATCTTTTAAAATCTGCTTTGTGTTGTTTCCATGCTGGCTAAACTTTCCCTTCAAGGAGGCAAGGTGTTGGCAGCTGCTTTAGTCTTTGACTCTTTCAAGTTTAAATCCAGTAAATCCAGTGGAAAGAAGAGAAAGTGTCTTCCAAGTAGTCAAATTTGGGTATTCATTCTGATTGGAATCATGTGTTTTCATGCTATCCTTGAACCTGTTGCCATGAGCAGAGGCTTTGGGTGTGGTGACACCTAACCTACCCCTCTGGAGCCAGGCCTGGAGCTCAGAAAGGATTTTACAAAACAAAACAAAATCACATGGTCATTGAAAGAAAGAAGGAAAGGATGCTGGGCACCAAAGGTAATAAATACACACTTTAGACCACAAACTTGATTTCTTGGGGTTCTGTTTGCATAAACTTGTGAACTGAGCAAAAGATACAGAGAGCAGTGCTATTGTCACCCAACAGCAATGTAATAAATTATTTTAAATGCTCCTAGCCAAACAAAATACATCTGGAGGACTAATTTTGCTTGCAAGCCTCTAGGATGCAACTATTGTGTGTATATTAATTCTAAACATTGAAAAATAGTGAGTAGTATTTATATTATTATAGCTATGTAAACAGGTTTCATGGTAGAATAAAAAATGTTTTCAAATTCTCTAGGATCCCTGTCATCACCCAGGCAGCGCTCAGAGACAGTGTTACTGGCATCAAATTCCAAGGATTCTCCCCCTTTCTTCTCCACCCATTGCTCAGAGTTCAGCTATGTTAATTGCAAACTTGTTAATTGCAAACTATGAATGGCAGATACTGTAGCCTACCCAACTGACATGCCCTCATTCTTCCTTGCAAGTATCTTTTCTTTGCTTCCCTTGGTGGTTATCACTGATGATGCAATTCTTCTCAAAGGTCTTGTGATATCTTATTATCTATTTGCATTTTTTACATGAGGGAGGAGTCTGAAGATTGGGAGCTCTGAATGTGGGATTCATTAACTGACTGTTTCACTGTGAATGAACATGCAGGGAGTTCTCAGCTATTAAGTTGGGACCTAGATAAAAAATGAGAGGGTCTTTATTTTTGGATATTGATATCCATACTAGCTACCCTTACCATTTCACTTGATAGCTTGTTAAATTGTTCAGATAACTGATTTAATTAATTAGTTTAATTAGCTTTGTTAGATAAGTTTAAATAAGACTCTGATCTCACACCATAGTTTTAATTATTGATTCATTCATTTATAATTTTATTTATTCATGTTGTAACTTATCTGTAGACAGAAAAGTGTATAGGAAACTTTTGACTTTCACATTCAGACTTTCAATTTTCAGACCTACTCAAGTTCCTAAGTTCCTTTATACTTGTTACCCAAGCCAAGAGCTTTGATGGAATTCTACTCAATGTGTGGGTTTTCTGTTTTATATTTTTCATTAATTAATATTTTTTCATCTGCTTTTTGTCCTATAGGAAATTGTTGAGCTTTCCAGTATATTAGTGGCCTCTTTCCAATTCCCTTTAGTGTTGTGAATATAAACCTTTAAAAGAAATTCATTACTATTATCTTAATGGTTTCTTAGAAAGGGGAGGACATAAATATACACGCTTAATAGAATACCATATTAAACCTGAAGTCTCTATGTCTGTCTTGTTAATAACTGCATAATAATCAATTGTATACATGTTTCTTATATATTAGCTTGTCTACTGATTAACATTTAATTTTGTGGCCCCAAACACTGCTGATATGAACACTATGCACATAGACTTCGGTAGAATAAGTTCCTACAAGTAGAGTGTTGGGTTGAATGTTGTTGGAAATTTCTTCTTTGAAGTGTGTGTATTTTTGCAAGGTGATATTGTAGAGCAGTTAAAAGCATGAACTCTGGGACCAGGCTGCTTGGATTCATGATTCTCACTCTGTGACCCTGGGCAAGTTACTTAAGTTTCTGTGACTTGTTTTTGTAATGGGAAGAAAAGAGAATTAATATCATCTTTCTGCTAAGGTTGTGAGACAATTAAATGATTTAATTTGATGATGTTTTTGTCTGATAATATACTCAATACCATTATCTGTTAATGTTGTTATACTGGGTTAGACTTAACTACCAGACCAGTTTATAAAAGTCACAGTTCTGTGTGGGCTAGAGCTGGCATTCTGGCTAGTGCTTTTGCAGATATGCCTGGGGGAAATAAGGTAGTCTGGGCAAAGAAGCGAGTGATGGTATACCTTTTGGAAGGACTTGGAGCTGTCTTATCCAGGAACTTACCAAATGTAGTCACTTGAAAGCTGCATTGTTAACTGCTGTCCCTCCAGTCATAGACAGTACTTGGCACATAAATGAATAAATACAGGTTTCCACCACTATGCAAAAGTCAGTAGACCATTCCTATGAAAACTTTCATACATAAGCTAAAAAACCATAAAGCAAAAAAAAGCAATTACTATTAATTTATGTGGAAGATTTTTTGAGTGTTCCCAGATCCTCAAAATAACCTACCAAGCTATAACAAAATAAAACACCAAACTTTAAATCACATTGCCATATAATAAAAGCAGGAATGGTAGCATACACACCCAGACTGTATAAAGAAGTTCCCAAGAAGGAGCTGGGCAGAGCCCCTCCTGCTGCTCAGGGTGCTATAAAACCCACGCTGATCACTCTCCTGCTTTGTGCCTGTTGTAAAAGCGAAAATTATCTTCAGATTTCTCTTTGCTGTGGAAAACAGGTATTAATGTAGATCTGTCATAAAAGCAAAGTGGGAGCAGGATAAACATTCGAAATGAATACCTGTAATGAAGACATGAATGAAAAGATGAAATCCGTTTTTTCTCTTCAATTCCTTCCTGTTGTCCTCAAACCTTCAAGGAAGTCTCCATAACAATTACACCCTAGCTCTACAGTGAGAGGGCTGGGATGGAAGGGACTGAAGAGGAGGAGTCTTGAGAGGGGGGCTTCCGGAGTCATTTTTCCTGAGGGGGCTTTAGCAAGGGGTCAGGGGCAGAGGAAAGACAAACTTAGTCTCCCTGCCTCCCCACCCCCCAGTCCTGGGGAATATGGTGAGGGGCCTGCTAAAGGCCCGGACTTCCTGCTGCCATGTAGGTGAGGGATTTACATTGTTTGTACTTGGGTTTTATTGATTTATTTCTTCTTTTTAAATGCATACAAAAACTGGGGTACAGGTCAGAGGTACAGAGGGTGAGAAGATTCACCAGAGACAGCACAGGAAACAGAACAGGCAGACTGACTGAAATAAAGTGCTGAGGGGAGCAGTGGGTGAGACAGGAGAGGTCTGCTGTGCCATGTGGGTACCTCCCTGATCAGCTGGGAATTGAACTCATGCTGCAGAGGCTGCGGATAGCTTCACAGTGCTGTGTTTAACCCCTGTCGCCACCAGGGAGGCCCTGTACTTGGATTTTAAACGGAATGATCTCTTAAGACTGGGGAGTCAGGCATAGCTGAGTTAGAAAAGTTACTTAGCCTCTAAGTAAATGGCAACTTTTTATATGCAGTTTCCAATTTTGCTAAAGATTAAAACAAAGTATTTGATGCTGTTTCCAGCCTTCCTCAAGTTAACTCTGTGAATGATGTATTATAGATACGACTGCCCATTCTAACATGTCAACAGATAATTGTTAGGTTGATGAGGCTCAGAGACCAGACATGGTAGCAGGGATCTGGTTGGGGTTTCAACCAGTCCTTCTCATTGGTAAAAACCTCCTGTTAGTCTCTTGAAATTTCAAAGAATAGGTTTCTGCCCCTGGAAAATGGAGATTAGTGCTATAATATCTACCACCTGTCTGGGCTTAAAAGCACATCTTGACATTAAATTAAAGGAGAGCATAAACAGATGGATAATAGACCTTGAAATCTTGACCTGAAAGTTACTATTAATGGTAAAACCATTATAGTATAATATTTCTCTAAGGTTTCCAGCAGATGCTTGGATAAGGAAAAATATCAATTTTGAGCATTTTGTTTTAGAAAATGTTATAATTTATTATTACTATTATTTACCATTAGCATATTAATGTTAAAAAATAAACTATGTGTTTAAAAGGGGATTTTCCAGATTTAAGTAATATGCAGGTATAGTAGCAGACAGAACACATATTCACACATACATAAGTGCTAATGGTTCATGTTGTTGTTGTTTTTGTCTTGTTGAAAATGAATCAAGGACTTAGCATGGATAGTAAAACACCAAATTCACAAACTCTCATTTATAGTTAGCTAAAGGATCCTGAAGTCAGGAAACTTGTTTGGGGGAAGACAGGAAAGATCCAGAAAAGTAGTTTTGTGATATCAAGTCCAAACATGGAACTCCCTAGACAAAAGATTCAAATCTACTTCCTATTTTAATAAAGAAACACTTGCCAGGGTGGAGGACCCTCTCGGGGGTCTCCATTTGTGATATATAACTGGGTGGTTTTGTTTTGTGTGGGGGAATAAATATTTGAAGGGGGTAACTGAAGAAGGATATACTTTTGTTATGATGTTATTGATACACAGGCTGATGCTATTATGGTGGATGCTATCAGGCTACATTATCTTTATGCCTCCAAGGTAACCTGAAGCAACTGTCTATTGACTTGGCACTCCCTTTCACTGAAGCGTCTGTCCTGCCTGGGGACTGTAATCCAAGCTAACCACATGCCTCACAGATGGCTTTCTTTAGCCACTGACAGCATCCAGGAAGGAAGAGCGTGAAATCACCTGGGAAGGGCGCTTCCTCAAAGGGTTTAGCTGCTGAGTGACTCTCAGGAGAATTCCATCTCCCAATCTTCTACTTAGGGGCAACCACTAGGCTGTCTCTTCAGGCAAGGAAATAATTACTGTAAGGAAACTGGAGGTGATCTGATCTGAACCCCTGGGCATTTTTCTTTCCCTCTTTGAATTTTGCAATGTTTCACCACAGATCATGTCCACTTGGAAAGCAAGGCTCGCCAGAAGACTGAAGTTTCCATCTAGGAGGATGCATCCATTTCCATGCTCAGCTCTGCTTACCTGTTTTGGGCACACGAGGGAGAATGCACCCTTTGAACAGCCCAGTGTGGCTGTTACTCACTCTACTGTCTATGTTCAGCCCATGGCCAAAGTGGGTCGACACTCAAGTCACCTGAAAGGGGAAGAAAGACCTCCAGAGAAAAGGAAAGATTCTGGCACCCATTTGGAGAGAAATGGCAGTGCAAAAAGGAATGCAAGTAACCACACTGTTGTCCAGGTGACTGAGACCCCTGAGGATTTGCCTGGGTCTCTGGATGGTAAACTGGACTGTGAAGCAGTTACTTTTCAGACTTCTATTCCTAGACCATCAATTATTGACATGCCAGTGGTGAGTATTCCCAATGCTAGTGTAGAAGGTAAGGTGTCAGAGGAGAATTCTGGTCACTTGGTGAATGCCTTTGGGAAACAAAATAGTTTAACATTATTAGTGAATAAGACATTGAAGGGAACTCTTATCACTGAGAGGAAATGTGTAGTCCTTTAAATCCTCAAAAAGTTCTCAAAGGCTGTGAAGGGAGGCAATGACAATAAGTACTGGAGCCTGAGCAATGACCAAAACTGACCTTTAGCTAATTGATCATGGTGCTTTTGAGCCAACAGTATCTCCATAAAAGATTAGCGGTAGAACAATCTGGGGGAAACATTTAAAAAAAAACTACTTTGTGATTTATTAATATGAAAAAAACTCAGAATAAGAAAAGTTTGATTATAGTATTTAAGAAACTGCTTTTACTTAAGATGAATCACATGATATCAAGGCAGTCTGGGGAAATTTGGAAATGATGATCACTATATGTGTAGCACTAAAGAAAGGAACTGATCTCCATAACGATTCATAACTTGAATGTTTTGGTGATGATTTTCTGAAACTTAAAGACAGGAGACAGAATTTATTTGAAAAAAATGGTGCTGCTGATTTTAAGAGGTAACATATTGACATATATGATTTTATGAGGTAACATATTTTAAGAGGTAACATATTGACAACATATCTGTTGTCTTTGAGGGAGCATTACTGAATTTTAATTGTTGAATATTCTCATTGGATTTAGTTGCACAGTCACTTCAAAGTTTTTGGTCATCCCAATTTGGGAGGCAGTAAGGAGGCAAGGTGTCCTGAAGGGTGTTTTCCAAATATATTCCTTGAACATTTTTTTGTTGTCTTCCTGACCAAGTAACTCAGAACCAGACTTAAAAAACCAAGAGGTCTTTGGAGATCCATTACCAAGATATTCTGAGTTTAAAAAAATTATCTTTTCCTTATCTAGTTTTTATCTGATTCAGCAACTTGAATCCAAGAAGCCTCATTAGCAATGGAAATAGTCAACAGCAAAGATTGGGTTAAAATTTATTAGATTGGGTTAATTGGAATAAAAAACAATTTCTTTTGACATTCTATAAGTTTATATCAAGTGGTTGAAACTTGGCTGATTCGCATACATGCTTCTATTTTGAGATTGTAAAGAGGATTTCCCCAACCTTCTGCTAAGGCAAAAATAATTTTTTTTTCCTAACAGTACTAAATCAAAATCCCACAATGAATAAATGAAAAGCAAAATATTTGTTGTTCAATTTTCAGTTTATACCCATATCCAAGTAAGATATTTAGTTGTACTAAAGTTAGCTGAGACTGCTTCATGACCAAGTGTATTTGTTGCCTGTTAAAGGAACTGATGGTGGATTGTTTTAATGAGCTGGATTTTTTTTGGTCCAGTAAAGATGCCAGGAACTTGGGGCCTGCCCTATGTTGCTAAGTATAGCAGCAAATACAAAGAGTTGATTTGATTTTATCTTTCTGTTTTAATGGCACATGTGACACAGGGCCTTAAAGTAAAATGTGTATTCAAATTTAATCATTAAACATCCATATATATTGTCCACTTGGCTACATAGGTGAGGCAGATCTGAACATGGACGCAGCACTGATGAAAGTCTTCCAAAGAGACACACACAAAGACAGTTCATAGGAGAGTTGAAGTCTTCTGAAAGGTACATTGCAAGGGAGGTAGAATTTGAGATTGGTTTGGAAGGAGGATTAGGCTTTTTAAAGACTACGATAAAGGGGACGATGTTACAATAAAAGGGAATTGTACAACCAGAACCACGGGTGTAGAATTTAGCATAGGCATGGGTTCATCAGATTGGATAAAGTTGGTGAGATACTTGGAAAGATAGATTGAGGCCCAAAGTGGGATGTCTTGAATGCTGTGGTAATTAGTAGGCAGTGGTGAAGCTTTGAGAATTTTTAGAAGAGTAACAACATACTTGGAATTTCATCCTGGGAAGACAAATAGGTAGCATCATATAGAGTGGATTAGGGCTGAGAAAACTGGAGTTGAGAGGTCATTGTAAGCATCCCAGTCTTAAAATAGTCAGGAAAGGAGATTATGAATTTTAGGGTTAGTCTTTCCATTTCTGCAAAAAAAAGTCACTGGCATTTTGGGAGAGATTGTATTTAATCTGTAGATTGCTTTCAGTAGCATTGACATCTTAACATTAAATCTTAAAATCCATAAACAAAGTTTGTCCCTCCATTGACTTGTGTCTTTTATTTTTTCCCATAATGTTTCATAGTTTACAGTGTACAAGTCTTTCATCCCATAGGTTGTGTATTAAAGTATGTTAATCTTTTCAATGCTCTTATAAATGGAATTGTTCTCAATTTCCTTTTCAGATTTTTCATTGTTAGTGTATAGAAATGGAGTTTTGGTTTTTTTTTTTTTTGGTGCATGGGTTTTGTCTCCTATAATTTTGTGAAGTCTAATGTGCATGTGTGTGTGTATGTGTGTACACAAAACTATAGTTTTGTATGTATAAGATTATTTCATACATGAAGAGATAATTTTACTTCTTTCCTTCCAATTGGGATGCTTTTTTTTCTTATCTAATTGCTCTTACTGGACTATCCAATCTTATTTAACAATACTGTGTTGCCTAGAAAAAACAGAAATGAGCATCTTTGTTTTTTTTTCCTGATCCTGGTGCTTTACATGGAATAGCTAATTTGATATTTCTCCTCTTTATGGTGTTAGTTCCTGATAATCCCAATCATTCCTCTGCTCCGAGCCTTCCAGTGATTCCTCATTACCTTCACAGTAAAAGCAAGTTCTCACAGTGGCCCACAGATCCTGGACAATGTATCCTTATCGCCTCTTTGAAGTCACCTCTTACTGTTCTAAATGATGGGGAAACTAGGACTCAGTGGAGTTAAACATCTGATTCATTTCCACTTTCAGGGTCACCCCTCCAGCAGACTGGGAAACTCAAGTCAGTCAAAAAATGATTTCCTTGGGCAACTGTGAACTCAGGCTACCAATACCCAAATACTGCTTATTGTATCTTCCTTATCTAGGTTCCATGCCCATCCTTCCTCATTTCTTGGCACAGTCTTTAAGATTTGGGGTAGTTTAATTAATTAGGTTTCAGCTTCTTTAGTTAGAATCAGATTCTAGCTTTGTGCTCTTGAAGCTACACAAGACCATGTTAATTGGAATTTGGTGTTGGGGAGACTCCTAGATAACTATTAACAGAAAAATTCTTGGAGAAGTTCACCTTTATAGGTGAAAAATCATTCAAACAAAGGATGTTTATTTTCAACATCTTAAAGTTGTCTTGAAGTCAAGCTTTGGGTGTGTCATCTATAGAAGTCAGAGCTGCTTAGAAACCTATTGTGAATGTGTGTATAAACATCTACAACCCCTCCCTGCATTCCTATTATTTAAGGAGCAACTCTGCTGGGTTACTTTTCCACTTTCTAGCACAAACCAGTTTTCCTGAATTTTTTTTCAGAATGAAATCTCTTTTTATGGACCCAAATAGAAGAGAACAGAATTCTGTGTTATTAGAATAACAAATATTAATGAAGCCCTCTGCTAGGCAAAAGATATGTTATAAAAATTATATTAAAATAGAAAACAATTTTCAAATGTTGGCCCTTTCCTGGCAAAATCATTAATTGTTCCTCTTCTCTAAACAAGGACAGTATCTGAATAAATGAATGGGCATCACCTCCCATTCCCTTTTAAGCATTGCTAATGATTTCTTATGCAAGGTTTCTGCTTTCAAAAGATCTTAGACATAGTGGTGTGTTAGTGCATGATAAACCTAGTATCCTCAGACAGGAATTTTCCAATCCAGATATTTAGTTGCATCCCAACTGGAAAAGAGAGACAGTTTTTTGGCCTCTCTTACAATGAAATAAAATAAATGGTCCTCATAAAACCATGAAAATTTATATTGTACAGCTTTGACATTGGAGGCCATCCATAAAGGACTGCAAAGAATGGCCAAAAAGCAGACTTTCCAGACGTTTTAGAGCTGAGGGTCATATATATTCCAAACTAAGAAATAAAAGATGAGTATACAATTTCATCACATTTTAAAGCATCATTTCAACTGTGGTTACCCCTATATTTACAATTCAAATAAGAATAATAAATATTTTCTAAGTAGGTATTGATATGTTGGAGGGGAGACATAGAAAAGGAAAAATGTCCACCTATTTTTAAGTAGCACCTATTTCTAGCTCATCAGAAAGAATATGGCAATCTTCCCATGACCTAGTTAATACTTTGCCCTCATTGTTACAGGTGGTGAATAAAAGAGTAGGGCTTGCTTTGTTCATAAACAATGGTCTGGAGTCTTTAAGCAAGGATGAGCCAACAAGAAGATTCCAATTAATTAACAAGACCATTTTCCCAAAATACCTGCTCTTGTCCTTCCTCTTGATTATATAACATGAAGTTGTACTTCAGCTAAAAAGCATTCCACTATCTACTCATAGCTATGCTAGAATTTTTAAATTTTCTTGAACTCCAGGAACTGCAAGGGCTAATTAAATTAAATGTGCTATATCGATTATGGGAAGTTGGAGATTTTTTTCCAGCAAAGGACATCTGTTAACATGATCTGCTTTAGTTTTACCCTCACATTTCCTCCTTTCCAAAGAAAATAATGCCCATCAAGTTAACGCTTTTTCCAATATGAGGTTGACACACTTGGTTTTGAAATTCCACACCAAAGGAGGTGAGAGTTTGGAAATTTGAGGCCATTAGAGGAAAGGGTAGTTTTTACAAAGGGTATAAGACCTGAACTGAGAAATGTTTATAATTTTTTTGGTAGGAAGTTGGTTTTAGGGCATCCCCATTTTCAGGTAAATGAAAAATGATGGGGCCTCCCCGGTGGTGCAGACGATTGAGCACCGCACTGTGAAGCTGTCTGCAGCCTCTGCAGCGCCGGTTCTATTCCTGGCCGACCAGGGAGAAACTCACATGGCGTGGCAGACCTCTCCTGTCTTGCCTGCTGCTCTCCTCAGCAGTGTCTTCA